TTCTACTCTATATGACCTACCATATTTCGTATGATCTATATCATAGACTCAGTTTTAGAAATAAAAAATTAGTCTATGTACTAAAATTGAAATTATATTATTAAGCTAGATGCATATTATAATATTTATATTAAATTATTGATAATTTTAGTGATAATAATATAATACTGTATTAAAATTATACATTAGTGATAATATTATATTTTAATATTTAAAATTATTTATTAATTCACATATTTATATGTAACAAAAATTTTATTTATTAAATCTATTCTGTAGCAATGTTTGCACAACCATATTTGTCCATGTGACCAACTCTTCTTCTAAAGCAGTGATTTCTGGTACAAAGACAGTATCTGAGATGTTGTCTATCAACCTGAAGGTTTCCAAGTCCTCTGCTATTTTTCATGTTATTGTGTCAGTGAAAGAATTCCAGACTGGTGACTTCTATTACCCAGCATGCGTGAAGGTTGTCAATGGAAGCCAATGTGGCTAGAAGGTTACTCAGGTTTTGGAAAGTATGTGGCAATGCAACTCTTGTGACACTGATTCTGGAGATATTCACTTCAAATATGCACTACACTTGTGTATTCTGGACAGCACTGGACATATATAGGCGGTTGCATTTGATGATGCTAATGAAATTGTAGATATGCCTGCATGTAAGCTGGCTGCGCTACAAGATGATGATTATACTGTTTTTTCAACCGTAATGGACTCTATTTGATCAAAGATGTACAATCTGAAGATTCGTTGCAAGCTCGAGAGCTACAGAGATACCAAAAAATTATAGTTGGTCTTGACACTTAAAAGAAAAAATGTGTGAGAAAACAAAAAGTATGTTTTATTTCTTTCTACTATTGTTTTATAATTTGTTGTGTGTGGTATCAAGTTTCTAAGTATAAGCCAAGCTGGAGCTTTCAAAACTAATGTTGTGTAGAAGTTGATGAATGATTAAAACAATTTGTAATAATGTAATTAGTTAAAAACTGTTTAAATTAACTAAGTATTGGTTGTAGCTAGCAACCATCCATTCACACAGCCATGAGACATCTTCTAATTCAGGATCAACTAAAAGGGTAGAGCCACCTGTGACTGAAATAGACTTGCCATTGTAATCTGAAATCCGGCTGCCCTTCAGGCATACAGTAGGCTTCTGCCCTCGTCCAGGTTTCTCCTCGATTTCTGAACCTTCATCTTCGGCCTTTGAATCCCACAGACACATGTCTATACTGTGGCCTGATTCATCACTCAAAGAAAGCATCCTCCTTCTCATGAATGCTCCAGAATCCTTAGGAGAAATGTTTGTCTATTCCACATTACACCACCAATCACGTCTATAAATGTCTCTTGGCCGAGCTTAGAAGCATCTAAAACACTCATTCTATTAAGAACAACATTTGGAATACGTAGATCGTCCTCTACACACTTGATCTCCATAGTCTTGCTTGCTTTTATCTCCCAATTTGATTTATATGGTGTATATGCTGGTTTAGAGTGTTGTATACCACTGTTCCCTGAAAATATATAGACACTGCCTTGCTCAATATCATGAAAGATGCTTTGCATTCATGCCAAACCCAACAATATGTATTTTGGAACTTTATGCATCGGCAACAGCAACTGACATAACACACCAAGCTGTGCCTGTTTCAAAGAATACAAGTTTCCCTTTGTGTCTCACCTTGGCATGAAAAGACCATCGGTAGCAGTGGCCCCTGATGTTCTTATATGGCATCTCAGCGTCTTAGAACTCTGTCCCTTAACATGAAACAGAGAAAAAAAATTAAAAATGTTATATACATACATACATAATGTAATTAGTTACAAACAATTTGTAACTAAATAACTAATTTGTAATGTATTTAGACAAAACTAATATTAGTAGTCGTAGTGCTTTACATTTGTGTTTATTTTTTTATAAAAGAAATATCAGAAGAAAAATCTGGGAGTGTCATATATATTTCAGTTCTTGGCTTTTCGTTTATATTGTTTCTTTTATATTAACAAAGAAATATTCAAGCATGAGATTTCATAGGTGGTTATGTTAAAGGTTTTGAATATGAAAGTGTGGGAAAGCTTACTTGATTGTAAGAAGAAGTTCAGCCTTTTCTATATCATGATTTTTAAATACATATTCTGTAATTACATTAACCTTGAAGGATATGCACTCTAGTGTTCATTGGATCACCAATGAAAGGCACATTGATATTGTAAACATCTATCACTTTGGCTTCAGTTCTGTCATCTTGGACCATTACACAACTTTGCAATCTCTAGAGACAGACCAGATATTCTTCTGGCTGCTTGCTGAGCAGAACATTAAGTTGTAGTTATCTGCGCAAGTAGAGTATGTCATAATCCATGAGTTTTTTTCACGAACGTGCCTCAACAATCCACACACAGCAGGCCTGTATATTTGATTGGAGTATATGAAGCAGTGTGATCCATGCAATGCAATTATACACATCTCTTTCCAGGTATGTAATACATTAGTGGGAGAATTAGGAATGTTTGTAAACAGCTGATTTACAAACCTTCTGATGTTGAAAGGTTAGGAATATATTCAATGGAATCGTTGCCCCCATCAATGAAAGTTCCCATGTAAGTCAATGCTTGAAGTGCCTAAAAAAAGATAAACAAATCACAAACTTTAATGAGCATATCACCTCAAGTGCTGGGTTCTTTCAAATGTTCCCCTGCAAAGATCCAGTCCATTGTTCTAGACTCTAACAATTTCTGCATAAAAGCTTCAGATGCTTCAACATCAGAAATCAAAGAGTAAAGGCACAGATGTAAAGGCAAAGGTTTATTTTTTTTAAGGAATGTCAAAGTTCCTTTGTTCCATATAGTTGATCAACAAAATGCGAAGGTATAGCTACTTGGAACGTGTCTTGTCCAAGGTGAAGCTGGCCCTTTAGCGTGATGTGTTCCTTTATAGGTCCTGCATATTTACATATTTTACATATTGCTTCATCTTTAGAAGTTTGTTGCAATCTTGATCCGCAGCATAATGAACAAACTGTGTGTATAAAAACTGGACAGAGCTTATCTACTTCAAAGTATCCAGGTATCTGCAAAACAACGTGTATTTAATATGGGCTTGTTTCATTTCCTTTCGCACTTACCCCTGTGCATTCCCTTGCAATATTCCGAAAAAGTCCCAGCTACGCTGGGAGCATAGTGCATTGTATACATTGTACATTGTATACATAGAATATTGCATTCCCTTGCAATATTCCGAAAAACAGAGTCAAGGAATTATTTTGGCATCATCTATTATACATGAAACAATGCTCATGCCTGTGACATTTGCTCTCTTGAAATAACCGTCTCCTTGTAAATTAATGAAACATCTTGTTGGTGGAGTTCCAGAAAAACATTCATTCATCAACTCTTTGAATAATTCCATTATGTTGCCATGGAATTTGAGCTGCCATCATATAGATTATTGTCAGGGATCCACATGCTATATTGAACTTACTATATCATATCAGACTCGTTGATGTTATCTGTTATTGTGAGTTGACCACTGTTGTAGCCTATATCATTGATACTCACTACAACACCTTCAACAGAACCTACAGAGTCTCGGCCTCTACATGACTCCACAAAGTTTGCAATGCTGATAGTTGGTACAGACAGACGAAATTGTGGCACTATAAGCTATTACCTAAAAGCTTACGTTTTCTTCCTAGCATAATAGATGCTCATCATTGTGGTGGGTCAATAAAAAGAGGAGATGCACTGGGTTGGAACTCAAGTCATCATGTTGTTTCGCATTTCTCTAGCATGACTCCACATTCAAATATATATAGCCACAGATACCACCTACTCAAAAATAAACTGGAGATAACCATAAAGGAAGTGCATAGAAAGAAAAATAGGCAGCTAGCCTCTTCCCACTCTTTCATGCACTGTGGTCCATGCACTGTGTGCGAGTGGAATCCCGAATGGGACAGCCTTTTGCCCGATGAGCAGGCCAGGCTCAAGGCTCGGCAGGGCGTGAAATACGTTTGCCTCGATGGCTTACAGGTGCTCAACTCCGAGCTAGCAAGCAAAAAAATTTAGCAGAAGCAGCGAGCGAGTAAGGAGTGACGAAGAACCAAACAAATAAGACAAATACATTATCAGAGATGAAACTCTAGAACCGGTTGCCAAGGACGGTGTCACCATTGGCGAAGTTTGCGTACGTGGGAACATGGTGTTCAAGGGATACTTGAACAATCCAGACTCTGGGGACTTGGCAGTTTGGCATCCCAATGGATACATCAAGATCAAGGATCGAGCCAAGGATATTATCATTTCTGGAGGGGAGAACATTAGCAGCCTGGAAGTGGAGAGCATCTTGTACAGGTAAAAGGAGAGTTTTTCCTTCTTTGTTTCTTGTTAAAGTTTGCTTCTTTTTCATCCAGGCATCCAGCAGTGTTGGAAGCTGCTGTGGTGGCGCAGCCAGATGAGCAGTGGTCCATGTGCGTTTGTGTCCCTCAAGCACAGCGTGAGTCTCCATGTGCGTTTGTGTCCCTCAAGCACGGCGTGAGAAGCAACAAGGAGGAGATACTCTTGTTGTATCGACAGCATTTACCAAAGTTCATGGTGCCAAAGAGCATCGTCATTCTCACAGCCTTGGACAAAACTGCGACTGGCAAGATCCAAAAACAGGTGCTGTGCAGCAAAGCAAGAGCTCTTGGCAGTGTCAAGTAAATCAGCAAGCTCTACAAGCCAACTATTGAACTTGTAAAGCTTGAAATCGTTCATGGCCTGGAAAATCCCCAATCTAGCCTGGCAATTTTAAATCGGTCAGCTACTGTCCGTCCGTTGTAATGTACTGGAATGAAAAATAAATAAATAACATGCAAGAACCAAGAACGCAATTCATCTACCTCAAACAGTAGCTTTGTCTTATCAGCTGTCACTCTTGCATATCCAAATGCCGACCTTCGAATCAAGCTCCATGAACTAAACTGTCGACAAAAAAAATAGAAAAGGTAGAATATCAATACCATATAAAGAGCTTGAATATAGGAAACAAAGCTGCAAGCTTACATTATGAGGGAAGTCATCCAAGGTGAATTCAGCCATGCCAACCACGGTGTGAACTGGAGCTGAGTAAATTGTAGTGTCAAAGAAATCGACGCCTGCTAAATCCTTGATCGGGTGCTGCAGGCAGCGCCCTGAAACACAGCACAAGTTCGCAGGTAATTGTGAACATGCCCCCACACTGCTAAATCAACCTGTGCAAAAAAAAAAAAGAAAAAAGAAAAAAGACAGTTTCATTCTAGTTTTCCCTTTGAAGAGCTCGTGTTTTACCTTGTTTCTCAAGAGCAATGGTTCCACAGCTGCTACAAATTTCGGATCCACACCTGGTAAAGTTTAGAAATAAATCCCCCGCAGTTGAGTGGAGTACATAGGTCGATGACTGAAAGAAAAATAGCACACATGAGTTTACAGAATGAAAATGTGAATAAAAACAGTTACCCTGTGAAAACTATCCATGGTGTACTGAATCTGCCGACAGATTCAAGGTCAGATTTCATCCAAGCGTACTGTAGAAGAAGGTTTCGTTGAAGGAAAGATGAAAAGAATAAGAATGCATACTTGTTCGCTGGTCGAGCTCCAGTCATGTTCTGTAGAGATGACTGTGAAATGCATGGGGCCAATAGCCATGGAGCCGTGGAGCTGTGGCTGTCCCGAGGAGAAGTACAGGGACGAAAATTTCTGTTTTTTCTCTTGGTTCCAGCCTCGAGCACCTGGCACAAACAGGAACTTTAAGCCTCGAAAGAGAATAGCAAAAAGCAAGAGAGTGAAAAACCTTGATTCTAGTCGTGGTTCCAGCCTCGAGAACCTGGAACAAACAGGGGCTTGAGAGACTCAAAAAAAATAGAGCTTAGACCCGACGGCCGTGGAGCTGTGGCTGTCCCGAGGAGAAAGGAGAGCTACAAGCACAGGAATGAGGAGCAGTAATGGCAGACAGGATTCGGTGGATTCCTGGAAGTTGGAGCTTGGAGGGAGCCAAGAACAAGAAATAGTTTGCAAGATGTAAAGCTTGCTATATGCTTCTCAATGAGCACTGAAACAGGAAAAAAAAAAAAAAAGAAACAACTTGTTAGATCGCTGCATGCTACACAGTCGCATCTGCTGGTTTGATTGTGAAGGACAAGGAGTTCCTAGTGGAGTGGATCTGCAACCAAGCTCCCAGGCAAGTTCCAGAGATGCATTGGCATATGCTCACTTTAGTTGTGGGACCAACAACAGCTTCTCAAAGACCAAACACTAAACACTGTAAACAGCGGTTTTGTATAAACAAAAACACTGTTTTTTTTCTAACAAAACTTTCTAAACGGGAATAAGCTGTTGATTAGAGGGACTTCAAGTTTCAATTCGGTGGTAAGGGCTGTTAAGTCTGAGGTATCAGACTTTTTTAAATACTAAATCTTAGAACTCTGTAGGTTCTTATAAAAGGAGTCATTTCGGATGTCATTTACTCCATAGAAAGAATTGCAAGGATCCAGCTACGCTAGGAGAAGCAGAGTGTGGCATTGGCTTTGGCGTTGGCATTGTTCAATCTGTTTCTTTTTTATTGCTTTCTGTGAGGAGAGCCAGGCAAGTGTTTGATTACATGCCCGAAATGACCACTTATGTTGCCAATGCTCTGGTTCATCATGGCCTTCCATTTTATCCATTTTCTCCTCTGGATTATTGTCTTTGGTTTTTGGTCACCAGAGACAGCCTTTTACTCCAGTCTCAGCATGTTTATTCTATAGTTTGTTTCTAAAACTTGCAGCTTTGATTGCAATCTATGCATTCTACTGCTTTACCTTATTCTACATTTCATTTTAATCATTTCTCTCCCGCACTGATTTTTTTTTTCTCATGACCAATTTGAGACACGAAATCACAGTCATCATGCACATTCATGTATGATTGAAGGTACTTCAGCACTTTTTTCTTCACAGAAGATTGCTAAGTGAAAACCCAGCAGTATCAAAAAGCTCTATAAACTAAACTATAAGGATTCAAGTGATCATGAAAGGAAAAGAAAGAGTACACATTTCTCAGTGAACATTGGGGAGAGAGCAACAGACTGGATGAGAGTTTTTTTTTTACATTGCAGGCACAGGAAGCAGACGGTTTTTTTGAAGACTCGTAGAAGCTATTTAGAATCGCTATGTGCAGTTGTAGGCACTCAAATAGTCACAAAAGTTCAATCTGAAAATGAGCACAAGAGTCACAACTTACGAAAATTAAAAGAAAACTATATGCTTTTTCTCCTGGTGGTAATTATCAGATGTTCATTGATACTCAACTCTTCTTGGTACATACTGAGGCTGTTCTATCGATCTTTTGATAAGTGTACATTGGCAGGTTTGTTTTTCTCTCTTTTTCTTTCACTTGTATACAGCGGAGAGAGTGTATCTACATATCAATGACAAAACGTTTGAAAAAATAAAGAGCCACTCATAGTAAGTTAATAGAGGAAAATAAGAAAAAATAAAAAGAAAGAATGGAACTGCCAAACAAACAATGGAACTGCCAGTAGTTTGAAATTCTCTGGCAACAAAGTATTGTCTTTCGGGGAGGAGAACCACACAGAACTTCTTACACTCCTGACACAAGAAATAATTTTAGAAAAAAGATCATACTAAAGAGTTATGAATAACAAAAATCGATACCTTTGGTCTGGTGATGTGAGGAGGGCAGTAAGGATACTTCAGCCTCCTCTACTAAACCACCACAAACTGCTCAAACTGGAAGAAATGGAAACAAACAAAACCAAACTTCTTCCTTTTATATCTTTGTGTATTTTCATCATAACTGTCAATCGGGCTGGATTGAAGCTAGCAACCTTGCTCATGAGCTTCCTCTTCAATCCTTCCACCTCTGAAAGAAATTGTTTTTTACCTTCTTTCTCCAGACTTGAGTCTTCCTTCATGAAGCTTGAAAAACGTATTCCATTGCTCATGGGCGGTGACCGACACCACAAGATCTTTTTCCCTGTCCCTTGTGAGATTTTCATACCTGTCCCTTGTACCAACCTGCTCACTGACGTACGTACATGTGGCCGTTCATACTGGTGGAGAATTCTTGTGCAGCCTTGAGTGCATCTCACTGGCGATGTTGCTACTGTTGCCATGATTCTTCTGACTTACCTGTAGCATAAAATCAGTTCTATACTTGCCATTAATATACTACAATTAAAATCTGTGACACAAAAACATACCCCAACCAAAGAACTTACTTCAGCTCTGATAGCAAAACATAAAAAGCACGATGATTTCCTGTATCCCAAAATCATAACTGACTTTGTCTGAAAAAAATATCCCACTCTGTAATCACAAAGAAAGGATGGCTGTAAACGCTGCAAACACAGAAGCATTTTGGTATCTGTAAGTGCCAGAATTGTACGAATGTGTCCACCTGCGAGAAAGAAGCTTACCATAAGTGAAGAATCAAGCCACCATAATATATCTTAAAAACGTATTCCACTGCTTGTGGGCGATGGCCGACCCCACAAGCTCTTTTTTCCCTGTCCCTTGTGAGATCTTCATCCCTGTACCTCGCACCAACCTGCTCACTGACCCAGACATTGCCACTACGTACATGTAAACATTCCCAAAATACTGGTGGAGAATTTTTGCACAGCCTTGAGTGCATCTTGCTGGTGATACTGCTGCTTCTGCTGTGATTACGAATTACCTGTAACATGAAATGGGAAATGAAAAAGGATGGCTGTAAAAGCTGCCAACACAGAAGTATTTTGTCCTGTAAGCGCCAGGATCATACGAATGTGTCCACCTGCGAGAAAGAAACTTATCATAAGTGAATAATCAAGCCACTACAGTGTATCTGAAACAAAAAATTTGTGTACCAAATTGAGGAAAATGGTATTTTCAAGGGGCTCACAATCTCATTCCCAATGCTGCACAGTGATATATGAGAGTCAAACATAAAACCCTCAGATATATGAAAAGCCATAACCGTTTTAAGAGAGTGTTACATCTATCCTAAAAATCTAAGGGTAAGAGAATATCTGTCCTCCGATGCCAATAGCACTTTTAAATAAAGAAGTACTAGCAAAAGTCCCAGCTACGCTGGGAGCATCGTGTTTATTCCTGATGTTTTAGTAATTTCAAAGAGTTGTAATTGTAATTGTAATTTTTAACATAATCATTATTATAGCATACATAATTAAACATAATATAATATTTATATTGAAAGTCCCTTTTACATAATTTATGCTTAATATATAAATTATTGTTATATTATAACATGCTATATTATAATGTATATATAATTTTTTGTTTTTTTAGTATCATGATTTTTATGATATTAAAATATTATAGAATAAGTTAATAATATCTTAAATCATAATTTATAGTATAATTTGTGTAACCAGAAGCCCATGCATTGTCATAAAGTGTGGAATACAAATAGATTTCCTATTCCATCTACATGATCAACAAGAAATAGATGTGACTCACTCTTATTGTCTAATGCTAGCTTCCAATAGTGCTGGCTGGATGGTGTCACCCTAATAACTTGGATATGAGCATACATCACTTTTTTTCTCTGTGGCAAGTTGGCACATTGTGGCAGCATTACATCTTGAATCTCTGTCAGATCCTCATCACTATCAAGCTTCAAAAAAGCTAATCAGCTCACTACCCTGGCCTGAATTACCCTAATGCCTGGCTAGATAAAGAAGATATATCTTAGCCCACATATCAATGTAGAGTTCAAATGGCCAGTCCCGCATGTAGAGCTTCTGCATTGGAAACAATTTTCCAAAGATATTTGTCATCACAATGTCTGCTTTCCATTGAAAAAAAATGCAAAGGAGAAGAACATGATAATGCGTTGAGAGAAAAAATACAAGAAACAACCTTGTGTTTCTTTCAGTTAGATTCACTGTTTGTTTCAGAGTTCAGGTAAAAAAGGTTTCTCACAAAAAGAATAGCAGATTGTATAATTTATGATGTTGAAGTGTTCAGAGTACATCCACACTTTCATACTTCGCATTTATACATTTTTATAAGTAACTAAAATTTATTTTCTAATATAATACCTGCAGTCAAAAAAGTTATATGTGTATTAATACTAAATTATAATAG